CGGAAGCTACAGAAATCAAAACAGATGGTATTGGCATAAAAACAGACACAAAGATCAATGGAACAGGATAGAGATCCTAGAAATAAGTCCACACATACATAGTCAATCTATAACAAAGAAGGCCAGAAAATAAAATGGGAAAGAGACAGTTTCTTCAATAAATGGTGTTGGGAAAACTGGACAGCTACATGCAACAGAATGAAACTGGATCACTTTCTCACACCATACACAAACATAAACTGAAAATAGAAGACTTAAATGTAAGACCTGAAACCATAAAATTCCTAAAGGAAAACACAGGCAATAAATTCTGGACATCATCTTAGCAGTATTTTTTGTATCTGTCTCATCAAGCAACAGACAAAATAAAAAACAACTTGAACCACATCAAACTGAAAAAGCTTTTGCACAATAAAGGAAACTATCAAAGGAATCTGCTGAATGTAAGAAGGTATCTCTAAGTGATATATCAGATAAGGTGTTAATGTCCAAAATATATATATGCAACCCCATATGAAAAAACAAACAAACAAACAAAAAAACCAACAATAAACAATCCAATTAAAAAATGGGCAGAGGGGTGCCTGGGTGGCTCAGTTGTTAAGCATCTGCCTTTGGCTCAGGTCATGATCCCAGAGTCCTGGGATTGAGACCCACATCCGGCTCCCTTCTGGGTGGGAGGCCTGCTTCTCCCTCTCCCACTCCTCCTGCTTCTGTCCCCTCTCTCTCTGTGGCTCTATCAAATAAATAATCTTTTTTTTAAAGTGGGCAGAGGACTTCAATATACATTTTTCCAAAGAAGACATATAGTTAACAAACAGATACATGAAAAAACGTTCAATTTCACTAATCATCAGGGAAATACAAATCAAAGCAAGAAAATCACCTTACACCAGACAGAATGGCTAGTAAGAAGACAAGAAATAAAAAGTGTTGGCAAGAATGTGGAGAAAAAGGAACCCTATGCACTATTGGTGGGATTGTAAATTGGTACAGCCACTGTGGAAAACAGTAAGGAAGGTCCTCAAAAAAATTAAAATATAAAATACCAAACAATCCATTAATTCCACCTCTGGGTATTTACCCAAAGAAACAAACCCACAATTTGAAAAGATATGCACCTTGATTTTTATTTCAGCATTATTTATAACAGTCAAGATATGGTAGCAACCTAAGTATCCATCCATAGATGGTTAAAAAAAAAAAAAAAGATGTGGTATACACATACATACACAGGAATATTGCTCAGCCATGGGAAAGAATGAGATCTTGCCATATGCAACAATATGGATGGACCTAGAGGATATCATGCTAAGTAAATTAAGTCAGAGAAAGATTAACACCATATGATTTCATCTATACATGGAATCTAAAAAAAACCCCAAAATACAAAGAATACACTGGTGGTTGTTAGAAGGGTGGGGGGTTCAGGGATGGACAAAAGGGTGAAGAGGAATGGTTGGTACAGGCTTTCAATTATGGAATAAGTCACAGGAGATGAAATCTATAGCACAGAAAATATAGTTAATGGTATTTTAACAGTGTTGTATGTTGACAGATAGTAGCTATGTGTGTGAACACAGAAGAACATACAGGCTTCTGGAATCATTACTTGTACCCCTGAAACTAATGTAACATTTACACTCCAATTTAAAAAAAAAAAACCTACATTGTAATAAAATTTTTAAAAAATACTGATCGTCCAAAAAAACGAAATCTTGCCATTCGCAATGACATGGATGGAACTAGAAGGTATTATGCTAAGGAAAATAAGTCAGAGAAAGACAATTATCATATGATCTCTCTGATATGAGGAACTGGAGAGGCAGGGCAGGGGTTCATGGAGGGGAAGGGAGGAGGAAAAAAATGGGACCAGAGAGGTGGACAAACCCTAAGACACTGTTAACCTCAGGAAACAAAGTGAGGGCTGCTGGGGGGTGGTGGGAGGGAGGGATGGGGTGGCTGGATGATGGACACTGGAGAGGGTATAATGCTATGGTGAGTGCTGTGAGTTGTGTAAGACTGATGATTCACAGACCTGTACCCCTGGGGCAAATAATACATTTTATTTTAATATAAATAAATAAACTGATGGTCAACTAATTTTCTTTTCACAGAGTTCTTAACATTTAAAATACAGATGAGGGTGCTTGGGTGGCTCAATGGGTTAAACCTCTGCCTTTGGCTGAGGTCATGATCTCAGGGTCCTGCAAATCATGTCCTACATTGGGCTCTCCGCTCAGCAGGAAGCCTGCTTCCTGCCGTCCCCCGCCGCCCACGCCTGCCGGCCTCTCTGCCTACTTGTGATCTCTCTCTGTCAAATAAAAAAATAAAATCTTAAATAAATAAATAAATAAATAAAATACAGATGATTGGGACACCAGACTGGCTCTATTATTATGGCATGCAACCCTCAGAGCTCTAAGTTCGAGCCCCTCACTGGTGCAAAGATTACTTAAAAATTCAATCTTAAAAACAATAAAGATGTATTTTAACATAAATTAGTACAGATGACCAAAAAGTTTTGAAACAGTGGGTAAATATTTTAAATTAAGAAGTTCTCAATATTGGGGCATCTGGGTGGCTCAGTCTTTAAGTGTCTGCCTTTGGCTCAGGTCCTGATCCCAGGCTCCTGGGATCCAGCCCCACATCGAGCCCCTCATCAGGCTCCCTGCTCAGCGGGAAGCCTGCTTGTCCCTCTCCCACTCCCCTTGCTTGTGTTCCCTTTCTCTGTGTCTCTCTCTGCCAAATAAATAAATTTTAAAAATCTTAAAAAAAAAAAAAGAGAAGAAAAGAAACTGACATTTACCAGCACTTCAGAACCACGCTGTCTTTTCATCCCCTCTTTTTAGGCGATTAATGTTTTTCTCTTTTCCTTGCCTTACATCCGTAAATTCAACAGTTACTCAAATCTATTTCCTCTATACCCCCAGGTCAAGCCACTTATCTTTTCACATCTCAAGTAAAGCCATCTTTGATAGTGCCCAGCTCACTTTTCCTATGAGATGGTTACAATCAGTGAGTCACGGTTTTGCTCAAGTTCAAACTCCTTAAACTTGGCCCACAAAGTACTTCACATATGAGTCTAACTTTATTTCTAGACTTCTGAATTAATCCCCTACAATAGGAATCCTAAACTCCAATTTAACTGGTTTTCCCTATTGTCCTCTGAAAAAGCTCAGCTGTCTTTTTTTAGTTCCTTATTCCTCTAACATTATTTGGAAGAAGATACTGTCTTAGAAATAGTATAAGATTGAGAAGATAAGGGATACAGTTTAGTCAATATAAATAGCCAGTACATGCTAAATGCCAAAGGAATTAGAGACTAGGGGCACCTGGATGGCTCAGCTGGTTAAGCATCTGCCTTTGACTCAGGTCATGATGTCAGCAGGGAGTCTGCTTCTCCCTCTGCTCTCCATTTCTGTGCTAGCTCTCTCTCCAGGGCTCTTTCTCTCAAAATAAATAAAATCTTAAAAAGGGGGGGGGTAGAGACTATTTACAGAAATTGTAAACACTTGTATTTACTGATCTACATTTACATACTTTGATTTTTAACTTAAAATTCAATTGCACTAACCTTTTACTGTTTGAAAGAAACATATGTACTCATAAATTCCAGGGTTTTTTTTTTCCCATTATAGATTTATAGCTCAATAGAAATTATCCACAGCAGTTACAATTACTCCATTAATCCTTAGGAAATTTAATTATGGTTAAAAGAGAAAGAACTTGGCACTGACTAGGGTTAATATCCTAAACCCAATCCCCCAGCCCCCGATTTCCCCCTTATTTACACCAGTGTGAAATTACGCAAATTGCTTAGTCCCCCTTTTCCTTCGTCTGTAAAACTGGATAACACCTACTTCACAAGGCTGTTGTGAAAATTAAATGAACAGGTGGAAAAATTTCACAGAGCTTCATACATACCAAGAGCCATATAAACAGAAATTATCAAAATTATTATTACTGCTCAAAAGCAACACTGCTACTGTCAAGACTAGATTGTTTAGAACCTTCATTTTTAATGATTTTGAAAAACCTGAGCATAGGGCAGTGAAACTGCACTGTGGGAGAATTGCCCGCATTCCTATAGAGCAAACTAAATTTGCGCCGTCTACACATTCACGTTTTCCTTACTTTACTCAATCCCTCTAGAAGGCAAATGATTAGAAAAATAGTATAATTGCTGACCATGACAAAGTCGTAGAAATACCTAACAGAGATTAAATGCCTGGGATTTGCTTGAAAATAACCTGTGGAGAGGGAGCAGCCCCCCCCCACCCAAATGCTGACAATTGTTAAAACTGGGTGAAGGGTTCGCCAAGTTCCTCTCAACCTCTGTACTTTTGAAGATCTCCATAATAAAACGTATTTTTAAATGTCTAAAGGTCGATTTTTTTCTGTGGGGCTTAACGCGACTAGTTACGTTCAGGAAGCCACACTGGGAACCATTGGGAGGCGAAAAGTAAAACAGCAACACAAGCCAGGTGAGACTGGTTAAGCCTCCCAGGCGACCAGCAGGCGTGCGTCTCCTCCCAGAGCCCACCAGGCCGGGCCCGGAGGCGCACCCGCGGAGTCCGGCAGGTCTAACCCGGGGAAAGAGCGCAACGCCCAAGGCCTTCCTGGGACCGCCGCCTGGCGGCTGGCGAGAGACGTGTGGACCCTGAAAAAATGGACCTAAGGGCCGGGGGACAGGGGGGAGATGTGGGTGGGTGAGTCCCAGCCTTCAGGGAGAGTCAGCCGACTTCTCTCCGCTCCGCCGGAGCTCCAGCCCCAGCAAAGCACTCGGCCACCCCGGCTGCCCGAGAACGTCTCCGCCTCCCTTCATCCACCGCACAGACTCCCAAACCGCCCACGGAGCCCGCCGTCTTCCCCGCATGCCCGAAACGGGGACTCCTTCAGCTTCGACTTTGTTACCAGGGCTTCCCACCACCCTCAGGCATGGTGGGCCTCTTCGAACCCCCCTCCAACCGCTTTCTTGGGTCCCTAGCCCCACTTACCTCGGCCGCGCGGCAGCCAGGTGCCTTCTTGAGCTTCTCCGGCTTCCAGCTTGGCTCTCCCGGGGAGTTACTGCCAATCACCCAGCCTCCGCCCCAAATCCGGACGAGACTACCAATCAGCTGCTTCTTACGGCCCGGAGGCGGGTACTGAGAGCCCGGACAGAAGGCGAGACGACCCGCCCACAGGCCTGCAGCACCCTCTCACTGTGAATGTGCGCAAGCGCGGTGCTTGGCTAGAGGCGGGCGCTTTCGCGTGGACTTCGCTTTGTGTCTTCACTGCTCTGCCCCGGAAAGTACTTTGTTAGTAAACCCCGCTCTCTAAGTGTGTAGCAAGACCCGCATTCTGAACGTAGCCACAAGTGTGTATTACCTTTAAAGAAGCTAGGAGTTCTAAGCCCTTGTTAACCTGACTTGTGTTGAGTCCTTTTATCCCACGCTATTGAGACTTGTGTTTTATCCCGCAGATCTTCCCACGTGAACTTAATATCCCGGGCGTGTTTGTGTTGAGGGGAGTTGAGGGTGCGGAGTGTACAAAGAGCATGGATGACGATTTTACTGTCCTCAGTTCCGTCTGTTTAGTCTGATTCGTGGACCGCATGTTTTTTTAATAGTTGAATATTCTGGGACACTAGATTTCAAATAATCCTACCATGATAATGATCATTACATCTATAGCTAATAATATATTCAGCATGGTAACGTGTGTAGGCCCAACTCGAAATTCATTTGTAGAGAGAAAAGCCTGCTTAAGTATTTCTGTATGGCCTTTAAAGAGGCTGTTGCTGATTGGCTGTCGCTGATTGGCTGTCTCTCTTACTCTCCCTTTGTAATTGATCCCACAGGTCACTCAGCAAGCACCAGAGCCATGGTGGTTTTTATTCCCGGTGCCCAAGTCTCTTCAGGGTGAGGGCTTCCCGACTTCAGCAAGAGCATTAATCCATTTGGGAGCCCATTATGACAGTACAAAGATTTTTAAAAGCCTTGAACCACGCCCTCAGGAAGCCTCCGGGCTAACAGGAAGACAGAAACACAAACTTACTTAACCAAATGTTCTCATGGAGGAATAGTGGAATCCTGGGAGACCGGCCTAAGCCAGCCCAAAGGCTCAGGGGAACGCTTACTAGAGGTGTGCTTGGGTTGAGGCTTGATGATTAGCTTCTGAGCTAAAGGAGTGGAAGCAAAGGATAGCATTTCTGGCAAAGTTTACTTGTTGAGATCTTAAAAGGGTGGATTTACTGCGAAGCTAATGAAGCTTGAGGTCAGACCCCCTGACTTGCACCAGACCTTTCCAAGACCCAAGGGGGGACCCTGAGTTCACATGGTCATATGTTGTCTTCTACTCTTTAAAAGGAAGATGGCTTAAAGCAACCTTCAAACAGATTAGTTAAGTGCTTTTTTCCCCATTCCAGCTTCCTTTTCCTCACATTTCTCTGCATGCTAAGTGCCCTCCAGTGACCCTGGGCATTTTGAGGATCTGGGTGAGGGGAAAAGGATTGAGTTGAATTTAGCTTCCTTTTGTGATTAGTTATTATGGACTCTCACACTGTTGTAATGTCTTCCCAGAATATTCCTAGCCATACTATATGCCATCTCACAGAGGGCCTATGGATGTGTCTTATGGCACTTGGCACCAGAAGTATGTGGCTCGTGGAGGAGAAAGGATGGAAAATGTGTTGAGACAGAAATTAGAAGATCTTCCAGTCATTGTACTTGAAGTTATAATCAGGGTGCTTCACTTTTTCCCTTCAATAAGCTTTATTTTAGAATAATTTTAGACTTACAGAAATGTTGCAAAGATTGTTCAGAATTCCTGTTTACCCCTCACCCAATTTCACCTAATGCTAACATCATGCATTACCATGATGCATTTATAAAATTAAGGAGCCAACATTGGAACATTACTATTTACTAAACTCCAGACTTTATTCAGGTTTTATTAATGTCCTTTCTCTGTTCCAGGATCAAATCCAAGATGCCACATTGCATTTAGTCATCATGCCTCCTTGCTTAGATTCCTGGTCTATGACAGTTTCTCAGTATGTCCTTGTTTTTCATAACCTTGATACAACCATGACAGTTTTGAGGAGCGTGGTCAGGTATGTTATAAAATATGCCTTGATTCGAATTTGTCTGCTGTTTTTCTCATGATCAGGCAGGGATTGTAAGGTTTGGGAGAAATACCACACACTGAGATGCCCTTCTCATCACATCATATCAGGGGGTACATGATGTTAGCATGATTTATTTCTGCTGATTTTAACTTGACCATGGTAGTATTTGCTAGTTTCTCCACTATAAAGTTGCATTTTTAAAAAAATATTTTATTTATTTATTTGTCAGAGAGAGAGAGAGAGCGAGCGTGAGCACAGGCAGACAGAGGCAGAGGGAGAAGCAAGCTCCCTGCTGAACAAGGAGCCAGATGTGGGACTCGATCCCAGGACGCTGGGACCATGACCTGAACAGAATGCAGCCACTTAACCAACTGAGTCACCCAGGTGTCCCTATAAAGTTGCATTTTTTACCCTCTTTCCATATTCTCTTCTTCAGAAGCAAGTCACTAAATCTTACCCACCCTCAAGGGTCATAAGAGATTAAGCTTCAACTTCTGGAGTGGAATATCTACATAAATAACTTATCATTCTTCTCTAGGTAGGATTTGTTTCTTCTGCCCATTTACTTATTTATATTCAATCATTTATTCATAAAGAATCATGTATATTTATTTTCTATATACAACCTTATATTTTCTATATACAACCTCTCTTAGTGGACAGAGCTAGGAATATATTATCACCTTGTTTTTTAATTCTTTATTTACATCTCTATGATAGGTAATCTCTAAAAAGACCCCAATGATCCCTGACCCCTGGTATTCACACCCTTATGTAATCCCCTGTTAAAGAGGGTGGGTTTTACATAGTGACCTCCTTCTAATGAATCAAATAAAAGAGTGATAGGATGGCAATTATAAGATTAGTTTAAAAAGAGTGTGGCTTTCATTTTGCTTGCTCTCTCTTGGTCTCTCCTTCACTCTCTCTGAGGGAAGCCACCTGCCATATTGTGAGATGTGCTAGGGAGACTTATGTGGCAAGAAACTGAGGGAGGCCTCTGGCCATCAGGCAGCAAGCAACTGAGGCCCTCTTTTCGTCAGCCTCTGAGAAACTGAATCCTGCTAACAGACATGTGAGTGAACTTGGCAAAAGATCGTCTCTCAGTTGAGCCTTGAGATGACTGGAGCTCCACTGATACCTTGATTTGCAGTCTTTTTTTTTTTTTAATTAGCATATAATGTATTATTTATTTCAGGGGTACAGGTCTGTGAATCATCAGTCTTACACAATTCACTGCACTCACCATAGCACATACCCTCCCCAACGTCCATCAGCCAGCCACCCTATCCCTCCCTGCCACCCCAGCAACATTCAGTTTGTTTCCAGGGATTAAGAGTCTCTTATGGTTTGTCTTTCTCCCTGGTCCCATCTTGTTTCATTTTTCTCTCTGTTCCCACCATGCACCCCCGCCCTGCCTCTCAAATTCTTCATATCAGAGAGATCATTATGATAATTGTCTTTCTCTGATTGACTTATTTCACTTAGCATAATACCCTCTAGTTCCATCCACATCATTGCAAATGGCAAGATTTCAGGGGTTTTGACAGCTGCATAGTATTCCATTGGATATATATACCACATCTTAGTTATTCATTCATCTGTTGATGGACCCTTGATTGCAGTCTTATGAGAGACTCTGAACCAGAGACCTGAGCTAAGGCACACATGGATTCTGCATGCACAGAAACTATGAGATAATAAGCAATTATTGTGTTAAGCTGCTAAGTTTTGGAGTGATTCACTAGGAAGAATACAATTTCTGTCTTCTCTGCAAGATCGATGGTTCTGAAACTCCACTTTGGATCATATGTTTAAAAATACATATGCCCAGGGCCCTTCCCTGAATCTTAGGTGATTGTTTTATGCAACTAAGTTGGGAAATTAATGTAGAAGATTACAGGGCAATCCATTTGGGGATTTTAGGAGAAAATTTTAGGACTCTCCTTTTCTATTTAGTATATCTGATCTTAGAGTTCCTCACCCAAATAAATGGCTCAGCTTACTTGGCAGAATCCAGAATAACTGAAACTTCAGTAGTTATTTATTGAAAAGAGGAGAAAGAATCGGAGTTCTCTCTTATTCACTGTGCAGCCTTGAAAAAGTCCCTTGACCTTGCTGTGCCTCCAAATTCCTAAAAGATTTAAGAACTATAGTGCCCCTAATTAGGCAGAGATTTATCCATCATTAAGTATATTTTAGGCAATGGAAAGGTGAACAAGGCCAGTTGTGGGCCAGCTTCCTTGCAGAAATTTACCAAAAAGGTCAGATTCCCATTTGTTTGTATTGGTAGATGGTGAAGCTGAATTCTTTTGTAGAAGGAATATGAGCTTCCAAGTCAGACAGACCCTCTGCCTTTTATCAGCCATATGGCCCTGGCCAAGTCAGTCAGCCTCCCCAGGTCTCATTTCCCTGAACTGCACAGTAGGGAGAATAGTCACCTCACAGGATAGCCCTGAAAACCGATTGTGTAACATTTGTAAAATACTCAGGATTACACCTGATTTATCACAAGGACCCAATAAATAATACCCATTTGGTGAGAAAGGCTGAATTATCTGCAAGCTTTAAACAGTATCCTCCCTGAAAATCCAGACCCTCTCTCTAGTTCAGCATTTTTTCTAGCTCCGACTGCCTGTCTATAGAAAATATAACACATTAAAATGGGCCTTAAGAGGTTCCAAGTTAGGGGCGCCTGGGTGGCTCAGTTGGTTGAGCGACTGCCTTTGGCTCAGGTCATGATCCCGGACTTCCAGGATCGAGTCCCGCATGGGGCTCCCAGCTCCTTGGGGAGTCTGCTTCTCCCTCTGACCTTCTCCTCTCTCATGCTCTCTCTCACTCATTCTCTCTCAAATAAATAAAATCTTAAAAAAAAAAAAAAAATAAAAAAAAAAAAAAAGAAAAAAAAAAGAGGTTCCAAGTTAGAATCCAGGAAAGCCTAACTGGCAAAAGACCCCTGGATAG